CCAAGATGTTCTACAGGACCCTTATACCGCCATACCGAACCTTTCTACGCCTGCAGAGCAGCCTGCTGTTCCTCACAGGACACCACAGGCGCAACAGGATGCCAGATTGCAGCAGTCTGGGCTTGTCAGCGCACAGTCGCAGCTCAATGGTTTCCTTGAAGCACAGAGTCCACGCGAGAAGGTCGAGAGCATCGTTTCCGATCTTCAACAAGCTGCAAGAAACGCGTCTGAGGAGCGTGTTAGAGATCTCGGAAGAGAGAGCGGCGTCCTACAAGAGTACAACCAAGCCTTGCGGGCTATTCTCGCATCTCCCAACGGTGAGGAGCTCGCACGGTTGACGTCGCTCAAGATCTGCACAAGTCTATTCTCGCAAACACAAGGCACATTAGAGATTGAAGTACTCGTACATCTTCTTGCCAAGCTGTGCGACATGTCGTCTCTGGTAGCACGATACACCTGGGCGGTCTTATCGGAAGTTGATGATGAGCACATGTTCAATGTCCCAGTTACTGTCGCTCTCATTGATGCTGGGCTTTTGGATATTCGTCGCGTCGATATGATATTGACAAGGCTTATCCTCCAGAAGAATACCGGGGCTCTAGATGTCCTTGCCAATCTGATGGACCGTGTTCTTTTCAGCGAAGAGCCTTCCGCCTTGAGGTCTGACTTCTCAGGCAGTCTTGAAGCTATGAGCCAGTGGCTTGCAGAAGACTCCAGTCTTTCAACTGCCAGTGATATTATCAACAAACTGCGCGAGTCTGGGATTCCTGAAGTAGTTAACCCTCTACTCAGTGATAAATCGAGATCTAAGCGTGATCAGATGGAATACATTTTTAGCGAATGGATCGGAATCTACAAGGCTCCAGGCGCAGTCGATCGCACCTATTATTCTTTCCTCAAGGATATCCATGAGAGACAAGTCATGGACAACCAAGAAGATTCTGCCTTATTCTTCCGTCTTAGCATCGATATTTCCGTTGCAATGTTTGAGCATGAGTCTCAAAATCCTAATGGCAGCCTTGATGAGGCCTACCTCTACATCGATGCCCTCGCAAAACTGGTTGTACTACTTGTCAAATTCCAGGGCGAGACGCCAGGAGCTACCAAGACTAGCAAGTCAGTCTACTTCAATTCCATCCTGTCATTGCTAGTGCTCGTTCTCAACCACCATCATGTCATGAGGGGGGAAGCTTTCAACCAGCGCGTCTTCTTCAGGCTCTTCTCAAGTATCCTTTGCGAATATTCATTGAACGGCCTTCAACAGAGCGAACAACATCAGGAGATGATGTTCGCCTTGGCTAACAAATTCTTGTCACTCCAACCTAAGTACTGCCCCGCGTTTGTTTACGGTTGGCTGGCGTTGGTCTCGCACAGGTTCTTCATGTCAGGTATGTTGAACATGCCAGAGCGTACGGGCTGGGGCCCTTACTGCGAGATCATGCAAGCTCTTCTTGCCTATATCGGCGAGCAACTCAAGCCTGCAAATATCTCCTATGTTATCAAGGACATGTATAAGGGCGTGCTCCGTATCTTGCTGATCTTGCATCATGACTTCCCCGAGTTTGTGGCGGAAAATCATTTCCAGTTCTGCAATGTTATCCCCGCACATTGCGCTCAGCTTCGAAACCTTGTCCTGAGCGCCTATCCGTCATCCTTCCACAAACTGCCAGATCCGTTTAGAGAGGGTCTGAAGGTTGAACGGCTAGAGGAAATGCGGGAAGCGCCAAAGATCGCTGGTGACACCGCAGCTCCACTCCAGCAGGCCAACATCAAGGGTGTGGTTGACGCTTCGCTTCAGAGTGGGAATGCGTCGGAATCGGCTTTGCAGCAGATTTGTGAAGCCGTGTACAACCCGACTACCAAAGAGACCGGCCTTTTCTACACGCCAATCAACGTCAATGTGGTGCTTTTGAACGCACTGGTGCTCTACATCGGCCAGAGCGCTGTCTCTGACAATGCATCTAAGGGCAACACTCGTGCAGCATTTGACAATTCCCCTCATTCAGCCCTTCTTGAGAGGTTAGCGAAAGCCTTGCGGCCTGAGGCGCGCTACTACCTGTTGAGTGCGATGGCCAACCAGCTTCGGTATCCTAACAGCCACACCTACTTCTTCAGTTTCGCGATTCTCCGTTTGTTCGGTTCCGACTACTCGGAACAGGATGAGTCCGACATCCGCCAGCAGATTATTCGGGTGTTGCTTGAGCGACTTATCGTCCATCGTCCTCACCCTTGGGGATTAATTATAACTCTGCAGGAACTACTTCAGAATCGCAGCTACACCTTTTTCCGTCTTCCCTTTATTCAAGCGGCGCCTGAGGTGAGTTAATATTATCCCGCGCTCCCTCGATTGAGCAGGCAACTAACCAGAGATGTCATTAGATCGGTCGTTTATTCGATGCACTCCTGCAGCACATTCAACAGCAAAGCCCTAGAGCATTGACCTAGGCATTGACGAAGAATCAGCACCTTTGCTATATTCTCTATTAATACGAAGAACTTGACCTTGCCACGATGTCTTACTTATTTCTGACATGAATTTTTTCATGGTGATCGCCGATGCCGCTCATGACATGTAGCATCCATATTACGGAGCTCTGCTGGAATGTATGATTTGAAGGGTTCTTATTCTCTATTATCTTTTTTAGTGGCCCGTTGCGCTGCTTTACCTTGTTATCATTTCTCGGTTGGGTTTCTGGGGGGAATATGCATACCACTAGGAGGACATGTCAGCATGGTTCAAAGCTGCATGAAGCCTTTTATCATTTTTTTTCTTTTCCTTTATCTACCTATCTTTCTTCCTTCACCACCCCACTTTCTTTTTTTTTTTTCCAATTCCTTTCTCCCTTGTACTTCTGTTGGACATTTGTGTCACGCCTGTTCTGGTGGCCTGTAACGATAAGTATAAAAATACGGGGGTATAATGAGGTTTTGTTCTACTTTGCATTTTCAATGGCATTGGGAGTTTGATCAGGTTGACATGGAATAATGAGTGTGCAATTCCATTGTAATTGATTTTCAAAGAATTGAGTTACTAGCGCCGTAGGTCCTGTGTTGTAGCTCTATGTATATGTAGACGGAGAGTTGAAATGGATACCTGGGAAGGAAGGTTTCACATGTTCCCGCGGAGTGAGACCCTGTGACGTCGACGCGACCCATCAAAATAGCTCAGGTAGACCTAAAACTTGTACTCCAACACAGCCGCCACGGAATCGCTTCAATTACCCTCGCATTACTTCCCGAATTACCGCATCATGGAATCTGAGTATTCATCTGAGGAAGATGCAGATCATAAGCCTACAGCTTTAACTAGAACAACGGTAAGAGCTAGCACCACATGGGAGATAATCGAGTTGGTACCCTAACATCTAGCATAACGCGCAGAACGCGCTGGTCAGGTACACCCGGCCGTTCTTCTCAAAACAAGCCCAGAAGGCTTATTTGGGAACCTTGCTATTTATTGGCACGGGCCTATGCATGCTGTTTGGGTCCGCCCTCGCCTATGGGGTTTTCTACTATCGATTCGTTCCCCAAGTCGGCGTTGGACGCGTGTACATTTACAATTCGGGTGAGTAAAGCATTGATCGGCGACCCTCTGGTGATAAGAGGCATTCTTTGATCTGAGAGATTTGTTTGCTGATTGTACTTGCTAATAGTGATGGGCATCCTTGGGGAATCGCCTCCCTCGGCTCCGAATTGGTCTCTCTTCAGGCATACGACGTCAACGTGGAACTTGAATTGCCTCGTACCCCCTCAAACCTTGCTGCTGGGAATTTCATGCTCGATCTTACCCTCGTTTCCCAGCCTTCGACATCTGTCCTGACGGGCACGAATAGCTCTACATTCCCTCTCTCACGATCGCGACGTCCTGCCATCCTGACATACGCCTCGCCTCTAGTGGACACCGCCAGCAAGCTCTCACTTATGCCGTTCTATGTGTTTGGCTGGACACGGGAAGCAGAGAAGCTGGTGGTACCAATGATGGAACGGGTTGAATTTGCTCGCGGACGGCGTAATCTGCCTGAAAGTTTGCGGCTGGAAATTCATAGTAACGAGGAGATGCAAATATACAAAGCAACGGTGGAATTCAAAGCTAGGTTTACTGGATTGAGGTATGGGCTCCCGGGGTCCCAACGTTGCTTCTGGGGTGTGGCTATTGTGACTGACGGTACAGCAGATGGATGATGTACAACTGGAAGATCACGTCGTTCTTTATCTTTAGTTCCTTGTTCTGGAGTATCTGTATGACGTCGGCAAGCATTTCTTGGGTGATTATAGCTTCCTTATCAAGCACGGGCACGCATGAACCGGAGATGAAGGAAGAAGCGGGCGACGAAACACCGATCAAGCAGGAACCTTCTGAGGAAACATCCTCTCTCATGGAAGCACCTTCTACTTCTTCCGCTAATCCCGAAGAGAGACGGAGGATCAAGAGAGAAGACGAATATGAGGCAGATGACGACGAGTCTGATGGTTCGCCAAGAGACCGAGGTACAATTTCGTCCGAGGAAGTCGGTGCGGGGACTGGGCTGGAAAGTGCTGAGGCTCGCGGCGTTCAACGAAGGCGAAGCCGCCTGTTCAATCACGAACACTCCTAACCTGCTTCGAGGCCTGTTGTAATGATTTCCAACCCGGCGTTTTTTCACTGTATCGATACCCAATCATCAGCGGGAACCATTGTGTTGTGTTGGTCGAGATCTCTTTGAGGAGTAAAAGTCCTGTAGTAACACTGCTTTCTGTATACTCGGCACTATTTTCTTATGCGGGTCGTCGGGTGTACACGAAACACATGTTAGGCTGCATGATGAATGAATTGGTGTCCAAAGTAGTGCTACGTTATATAAATAGTGATGGCGATGGCGTTATCGATAACGGAAAGTGGGCTGTTGGCAAAGGCGGGGAAAAAAAGGGAAAATCGGTCCCAATTGTTCGACCATCTTTCTTACCTCTCCGACCACAAGCCTGAGACTACTGAGTCCTATCTTCCTTACTGCTGGCCCTCAATGCATATTCTGGTGAGTGTCTTTGTTCTACAACCCTTCCGTCTGTTCTTCAATCGCATACTCTACCCCCGCTTGTCGCATTTGCATTTGCTTAGAGTGAGGTGCTCCCTTAGGTTGTGAACGACGACGGCCCTCCGTCAAATCAGTCGTCTCCTTATGTTCATTCTTTCGTCGTTGCGCTACAGTCGGCAGGCCATGTGGTATCCGTAGTTCTCCCACATCAGCAACGATCATGGATCGGCAAAGCCCACTTAATCGGCGCCTCCGTAAAGCCTACCTACTTCCGTCCTGGAACCCTGCATAAGGATGATGGAACGACACACGAACTGCCTCGAGGCAGTGATCCTGCTGACGATGACAAGGATGGCGATGAATGGATCCTCGTCGATTCTACCCCGGCCAGCTGTGTGCAAATTGGGTTATACCACTATTTTGAGGATCGTGGCCCTATTGATCTGGTGGTGTCTGGTCCGAATTACGGCCGCAATTCAACGGCCCTATTTGCCTTGTCTAGTGGGACAATTGGTGGTGCTATGGAGGCAGCTGTCTGTGGAAAGCGCTCGGTTGCACTGTCGTACGCTTTCAGTTCAAGGGACCACGACCCCGTTGTCATTGCCGAGGCGTCACGTCATTCGGTTCGCTTGATCGAGTATCTTGCAAAGAACTGGGCGGACGGTGTAGACCTTTACAGCGTCAATGTGCCATTAGAACCCGGTGTGAGCCAGAGCAAGGTGCTTTATACTGACATGCTTGATAACCGATGGACATCTGGTAGCTGTTTCCGAGCTGTCGATGCCTCGGTGCCGAATGCGAATCCCGAGCTGCAGGAGCACAATGTGCGGCACCAGGATCCGACAGTAGGCGAAGAATTATCTACGAATACGAATGGAACTACCCCGAGAAGATCTCGGATTCAACACAAACATTTCCAGTGGGCACCGAACTTCTCAGATGTCTACAGGAGTGTGGAGGAAAGCGCACCGGGCAATGATGGTTGGGTCGTCAAAGAAGGAATGACAAGGTATATCAATTCCTCTATCTCACCCGAGTATACTGTCATGATGGTCGCTAACTCGTGCCAGTGTTACGCCTCTAAGAGCTAACTTCATGCATCAACCCGGTATTCAAGGAGAGATCAAGCTGTGAGTGGACTTTCTCGGCGAGTGAAGCAAGATTAGATATGACTGCCTAGAACATAATGTTGCGGGAACTTTAAACTTCTAAACTTTTGACATACTTCTGGCTTTTCTTCCCTTCCCCGGCATTGTCTTATCACTTGTTACCTGTGGTTCTTTTGGAAGACCGGCATTCTGATAGATCAATATCATGTAGACCGGATAATGATGAGCCTACGTTATACTCCATTGTGGACAGTGACGTTCCATATGTTCAAGATTTGATGGAACAGGCCCTGCAGCGTCGCCTTGGCAAGGATCGCTATAAGACGATATCTTCACTGTCAGACCTTCCGTCTCGCTCGGCGCCTCTTTTCCAGTACCGTGAATACGAGCGACTCGACTTCGAACATGTCATGCTACATTCATCTACATCCTTGGCGAACGCTACATTATCCGCAAGGCGTTGATTCGCAAACATTACCTTTCTAACACAATCTCCAACTGGGTGACGAAACACCCAGACAGCGTCCTAGGAAAGCATTTCAAACCTGGATTCGATTTCGAGCTAGACTACGCAGAGTTCCTCGACGACGCGTTGCTGGAAGCCTACGAACTACGGGACAGTTTGCAAAAGAATGAGGAAAGGCCTGATCATGAAAAGGAGTGGTGGATCCTGAAACCCGGAATGAGTGATCGGGGACAAGGAATTCGACTCTTCAGCAGCGAAGACCAACTACGCGAAATATTTGAGGAATGGGAAGTCGATGAATCTGATATAGAAAGTGGATCGGAGCGAGCTGAAGAGGAGGATGACGAGGGTGAGAATGGAACAGGAGTGGTCACCTCCCAATTACGCCATTTCATTGCGCAACCATATATCGATCCCCCCTCCTTCTCCCCTCGTCATCTAACCGCAAGTTCCACATCCGCACTTATGTCCTTGCAGTGGGTTCTTTGAAAGTGTATGTCTTCAAGGAAATGTTGGCTCTATTTGCTGCAAAGCCATACTGTCCACCTTCGGAGGATGAAGACGAAGTCACTGATCTGGCGAGGCATCTTACGAATACCTGCTTCCAGGAAGGTGGAAGCGCCAACGAAGGAACCGTCCGGCGGTTTTGGCAATTAGATCCCCACGTCCCTGGACTCAGCCCCGATTGGAAGGAGAAGGTGTTTGACCAAATCTGCGCTGTGAGTGGTGAAGCTTTTGAGGCTGCTGCCCGTGGAATGATGGTTCATTTCCAGACACTCCCAAATGCATTCGAGCTTTTCGGTGTGGACTTTTTGGTCGATGGAGATGGCACCGCCTGGTTACTGGAGATGAACGCCTATCCGGACTTTGCCCAGACGGGTGAAGAACTCAAGGAGGAAGTAGTTGGCCGTCTCTTTGAGGAGACTGTTGAGGTTGCCGTGAAGCCGTTCTTCGGTGGCGAGGCCCCAGTGGATGGAACTGACCACTTGAGGCTGGTTGCCAACCTTGATTTGGGCCGGAGGTCCTAGTCTTGGTTGCTTCTCCAGTTAAGGCTAGACATCAATCTCCTTGTCGCTCTTGGATTAGAAAACTCTCGCGGGCAGGCGTTGACAGAGTGTAAAAATGGGAAGGAATGAAAAAATATAGAAGGAGAGTGTATGTTACTATACCCAGATATATCTCCCATATAGGACCCGGTCGAACCCCGGTTGCTCAATGTAAAAGACAATGCAGTTCCTCGGAATACTAGGAGACATTAATTGCTCAAGGGCACCGAGGCAGTATGAAATGAGGAGAGGCAGGGAGTGTGGGTTGAAAACAGCGTCGCTGCCATCAGTATCTGGGGAACATGTTCAATGTAACCAGTAAGCACAGCATCATTCGAAACCTATTCTAGATCCATAGGCCTGCAGGGCATCCCTTGTTTCGAAAACATATTACTTGTTTGTTAGTACTGCAGCATGCAAGGATGCGTTTCATTGCTGCAGGGTTTAGGGCAAAACTCATTGGCATTACAGCGAGGATATACTACTAATATAAATTTACATTGTGTCTGATATATGTTTGATTCTAGGTGAACGGTCATGGCGCACGGCAGTAGATATGATTGACAAGACCTCCTTCTGTACAGTAGAAATTCGAGCTGTAGAAAGAAGCATAGGTTATCACCCAAACCGCTGTTTTGCCAGAGCCTTAAGCCACCCAATGGTTTCATCCTCCTTCTGGCGATATTGCTGCAATCTTTCCTCCCGCTCAGCAGCGCGTGCGCGGAGTATTTCTTCCCTCCGAATTTCCCGCTCGTTCTTCTTCCGCTGCTCTGTCGCCTTAGCCCTCTTGAGGGCGTCCAGATCATTGTCCGCGGAACCCATCAGTTCATCTTCCGGGGCCCCATCAGGAGAAGCACCCCGCCGAGACTCAGCAAAGGCTCGATTCGCAGCAGCAGCCTCCTGGCGTTTCTCCATCTTCCGCTCATGAGTCCCCGGTTCAGCCCGCGGCGCAACCTCATCTTCCATCTGTCGTAACTCAGACCGATGCGAGCGTACCTCAGCACGGTGCTGTTTCCATGAGTCTTCCCGCGCCGCCATAGCATCTTCAATAGCCGATTCTATGCAATCTCCAGATTAGCAAAAGTAAAACAACCAAAACCAAGTACCGAAATCCACTCATACCTTTCCGCAACTCCAGATCCTGCATCGTAGGAATAGTCGGCCCAGACGATTGTCCCGCGCGACCACCGTCATATCTACCCAACTGGTCATATTTCGGCAGAACAGGGCCGTAATCATCCTCGTCCTCGTCGGGATTATCCTCCTCCCCCTGGTCTGCCCTTTCATCCTCGCCCCGGCCGTAATCCGGGGACCGGCGGTGCCGCCCGGAAGCAGACGCAATGGGCTCGTCCTGGGCGCTCCGGCGCGCTTTCTCAAGGGTACTCGGATCGTACCACCCTTCCGCGAGTTCTCCACGGTTCCTGATATGTCAGTTTTCCAGACTATGTACTAGTGCATCGGGAATTATGTACGGGGGGAGAGGGAAAGGCGCCCTTTACCATTTGTTGATGAAGCTCTTCCATCGTCCTTTGACTTCGTCTTCGCTGAGATCTTCTAGGAGGATCCCCTTCTGGATGTCCAGGTACATGGCGAACATGGGCTCGTAGGTCGAGAGGTCGCGCTTGGAGAGCTCCCGTGCTTGGAAGGGGAGGACGATTGGTTTCGCCGATGGTTCGGGGCGGCGTTCGCGACGGTCATGGTTGTGGCTTCTGTGGTGGTGTCGATGACTGCGATCACGGTCGCGGTGGTGATGGCGTCTGTGTTTGTCTGGGGAGCGGGAGCGAGAGTCGCTTCCCCGGTGGGGGCGCGGATGTCGGTGCGAGGAGTGTTCGCGGGTGGACATTCTGTTGGGTGGGTTATTCGGTGTCTTGGAGATGATGTATAATGGGATGAATTTATCGGCCGCTGACGTCGCGGGAGTTGAGAAATGCCAAGCTTTGCGGGTGGTTGCCGTTTTGGGGTAAATTGAAGGAGCTTATCTTTTGGTTACATTCCAATGTTCCTCGGCTGGCTTATACTCAATTGTCGCAATTATGTTCCTGAGGTGGAACCTATATTGGATGCTATAGGGACTTGCGAGGTAGCGACTGACAGAACACCCAATACATATTCAATCCCGTGTAATGCTACAACTATGCACGACCTCTCGAATTCTTGATCACGTAACCGGGAATAAGAACGTCCAATCCAACAACCAAATCATTATCTCCATAGTGAATACAATCACAAGAATGAAAAGAAAACCCAGCAGAAAAGTAAAGATGAAGAAATCTACATGAAGAGCGTGAAAGAAGCGGCGAAGGCTTTAGCTGGCCGGAGCAGCTTGCTCGTCGGCAGGCTTGGTAGAGTTATCCGCAGTAGAAGAAGTGGGAGTGGATGGGGACGCATTCTTCGAGCGGTTGGCAGCGGCCATTTGCCAGGCAGGGATGGAAGCGGATCGGCTGAACTGGGACAGAGGGCTACTGCTCGCTGCAGGAGTGGTCTGGTTCGACGGTGTTGAGGCTGTAGACGACGGCTGTGTAGCTTGTTCGGTCGACGTCGCTGTGGTACCGTTGGTGGCTGGAGAAGCAGGGGACTCTTCCGTAGGACGAGGGGCGCCCGACATAGTAGGCAGGGCACTAGATTTTGCAGTGTTGGGGGAGGTAGCAGCTCCGCTGCCTCCGAGCCTGTTGCCCAACAACACCTTCAAACTCTTCAATTCGGTTCCCAGCTCCTTCAAGCGGTTCTCATTTCCTTCCCGAGCACCTTCCAGGGCCTTAGGGATAGCATCTTTCAACGACTTGACCTCATCGCTGATGCGACGGGTTTCATCGTCTCTCCGACGTGAAGCGTTCTTCAAATCAGCCACAAGGTTCTCGACCTCCCGCAGGGCAGTGTCTAGGCGCTCCGTGCGCGACTCTTCAGCTGACTTCAGCGCTGCAGTATCTGTAGAGAGTTGTTCAATCAAAGCAAAGGCACGAGAAAATTGTTCATCAATGTTCTCCTTGTCCTGTTCTAGTTGGGGTGGAGTGGGCGGTGCGATAAGGGGTGTGATATAGCGCTGGCAATCGTATTAGACCTATGCTTCAATGGTATGAGATAAATCAGGCTCACTACGTTACTAACCTTAGCGACAAAGTAGAGCCCATATCCTACGCCTCCTACTGTTGTGGCCATAATGAACCAATCGCGCCAATCCCTCTTTGGGGGCCTGCCACGTAATAGATTAGCTTGCACACTCATTTATCGCTCTGGGGAGAGATGTGAACGTACTCCGGAGGCGGAGGCTGCCATTGGCCATATGGAGGGTAGCCATATCCATATCCTTGGACAGGTGGCGGCGGACCTCGGTAGGCAGGTGGTTGTGAAGACGGCTGGTACCCTGACGATGCAGTTACAGCAGTAGCTCCAGCCGGGCCTTCACCTACTCGGGCGAGAGCGATGTCAATCTCCTCTTGCGTAAGGTTCTTAGACTGAAGAAATGCGACTTTCTTCTCGACCGGCGACGATGCTACTGAAGGATCTTGAAGGACTGCTGGGCAGTTAGCAATGAAACCGAAGGCGACTGGAGTCGACAGTCGACGTGGAACACGCACAGGTAATCTAGAAATGAGGAGACCGGTCAACTCCGACTTCGCAAACAGCATATCTCAGATGAATATAGCGCAGACTTACTGCAGAGGAGATGAGCTCCTCGCGAGCCATTTTGGCAATTACTCCAGTAGGTTAACTGGCACGAAAGGAGGATGCGACAGAAACTCAGGAAGGGCACGTTCACGAGGATGAGAGAGAGGAGTTGGAGAAGACGTGGAAGGCGGGAAAGGAAAAGAGAAGCTTATCGGCACCGAAGGATAAATGGACCTCGGAAGTTCCGTCGCTGATCCAGTCATTTACCGCGTGTGGCGGAGGTTCCCCAGAATCTCGTGATCGGGGTCCAGTGACCGGAGATAACTCGGCATTCGCGAAAGCGTTGTTCCTTCGCGATACACCGCCTACTCTGTACGGATGAAGTGGGATATCTTGTTTACATCCTTTCGTTTTGTTTTGTAACCACCGCAACTGCCCTTTGTCTTGGTGCCCAATTCTCTGGGAGGCATTGTTTCTGAGCCCTTTTGTACAGACCTGCGCTGGAATTTTGTTTGGTGTCATTTGTCAATCTTGTGTTCATTTTTTCCTGTTGCCAAAGCCGCAGTCGCGGCTTCCTTGCCATCATGTCACAAGATACGGGCTTGTTTAGCATCAAGCGTCCCCGAGAGGTAATCCTTGCACCACCCCGCTAGTTTTCTATTAGGATCATGGAATAAACGCTGACCTACTTCAATATAGTCTCTGGCGCACTTCTCGGCTCTCCCTCAACCGTCGTCCGCCCTGAAGCGCACCAGCTCTATCGGCGCATTTGGGAACCCGTCTACTGCCCAGCACACACGCATGTCGCTGTTGAACTCCGCCAGTCGCCCCCAACAGCCAAACTTCCAGCGTTCATCTTCCGGAGGAGCTTTCGGGGCTGATGCAGGCCTCTCCTCGGTGAGGCGTTCTGTCTCAAGCAATATCTTCCACGGGGCCAGCGCCGGCCGCCAAAGCTATGCACCCGGCTCCTTTGGTTCCAATCCTTCATCCCAGAATTTGCAGCGGAGGAGCAGTGTCTTCTCAAGGCCATCCGCTGGTGTAGGAGGCACTATGGCCCATCAGTCATTCTTCACACAGGTCCCGAACGCGGCTGGTGTCCCACGGGACCCTCGACCCCTGAGGGACCGATCCTTTCAAGCTCGGATTGGACAGGAGCTTCTAGAGTATCTAACACACAACAACTTCGAGCTAGAGATGAAGCATACTTTGGGTCAAAATACCTTGAGGTCGCCGACCCAGAAAGATTTCAACTACATTTTCCAGTGGCTGTACCACCGCATTGATCCGGGTTACCGCTTCCAGAAAAGCATGGATTCAGAAGTACCACCTATCTTGAAGCAACTGCGCTATCCTTATGAAAAGGGTATCACAAAGTCCCAGATAGCAGCTGTCGGGGGTCAGAACTGGCCTACGTTCCTTGGTATGCTGCATTGGTTGATGCAACTGGCCCAGATGATGGATAGGTTCATTCTGGGCGAATATGATGAAGCTTGTGCAGAAGCTGGTGTAGATGTTTCAGGGGATCGCATCATCTTCCGATTCTTGACTGGGGCTTATCATGACTGGTTACAGGGCGGCGAGGAAGAGGATGATGAGACAGCCGGACAGAGGCTAGTTCCCCACATCGAAATGATGGCTCAGGAGTTCGAAAGGGGCAATGAGAAATATGTGCAAGAAGTGCAAGCATTGGAAGCGGAGAATCGTGCACTACGCGATCAGATCGAAGAGATGGAGAAGAGCGCCCCCGATATGGCCAAGCTCGACAAGCATTTCAGGATTCTCGAGGATGACAAGAGGAAATTTGAGGACTACAACCAGAATGTCCAGGGGAAAATTGAAAAGTACGAAAATCGTATTAAGTTCCTGGAGGATGAGCTTCAGAAGACCGAGGCAGACCTGCAGGCGGCCGAAGACGAGCGGACAGGGCTCCAATCCAGTGTCGACCGACAAGGTATCACTATTCAGGATATTGATCGCATGAATACGGAGCGCGATCGTCTCCAAAAGACCCTTGATGATACCATGGGTCGACTGGAAGAGACGCATGCCCGAGTGATGGAGAAGGAAAAAGAGGCCAGCGAAAAGCTGGAGGCCCTCGAGGAAGTTGTCAAAGCCTACAACACACTAGGCTATCAAACTAGCCTGATCCCTTCCTCTGCGGTCAATGCGAAGGGCCAGGACTATGAGCTCAGCCTGAATGTCAACGAAAGTAATTTCTCCGCGTCGCAGATTGGCTCCGCACCTAGCAGAATATCCCCGGAGGGCGATCGACTCCTAGCAGAGCCGTTCACGGGCTATCACCCGGCACATTTACTGAGTTTGGACTTGCGGGGGTCGGTTCGTAGCAGTCTACAGACTCTGCGTAAGGAGATTAATGAGCGACGAAAGCGCGCAGCCGATGATGATTTGGATCGGCGCAATCTTTTGGACAATATTAAGGAGGCCATGGATGAGAAGCGAAGCGAAGTGGAAGCTCTGGAACATAGACGACGCGCTGCGGAAGAAGAATTTGAGCGGACTAAAGAAATCACGACTACGCAGAAGCTTGCCTCCGATGCCCAAATCGAAAAGATGGAGAAAGAGCTAGCCAAGATGCGGGCTACTATGAGTGAGAGCGTTCAACTTATGGAGCAACGTGAAATGAACACGAATATTGAGTACGAGCAACTGACGCTCCGGGCGAATGCGCTACGGGAGGAACTCCACACCAACGTGGAAAGCATGTTGAATGACGTGATTCGATTCAAAGTCCATGTTCAAAAGGGCCTTGAAGACTACGAAGCTTCGTCGTTGATGAAGTCGAGCAGGAACTTGGAGGCGACATGGTCCCGGCGGATGATATTCCTCCGGAGGAAGAGTTGTGAAATCGATTCGAACAAGACTCTCCGTGCCAGAAGTGACAATGATCGCTGAAGTTTTGACTATTTTTCTCCCATCGCTTGGGATACAGCGCGCGACCGGCTTTTATACTGAGTTAGTACAACGCAGCGACATTCGTCACCTTTAGTTGGCGGAGTATAAACTTTTGGGTATGCATGATTTGGTAGTCATCCTTGATGTGGCGCTACTGGCAGTTTGGGTGTGTGGTGTTTTGATCATCTGTTACTTTTTGTTATTTTATTTTATTTTATTTTTCTTGATTCGTTTCCTTATGAGGTTTGGGATGTGTGGGTTGTGATGTTAATTGATACCTTTTCTTTTTGGTTGTTGTCCATGTTCATACTGTCACGATTTAGAGTGCAATGTATATAAGTTACCAATGTGCACACTCAGTATATTCCATATCTTTACTTAACTCGAGCATTTGAGCGACACTGTATCTATCAATGACCATCCACCTTGTGCCATGTTGATGATTCGAGCAGTCTCGATCCTGCCGAAGATCCCTAGTTTCAGGCTGAGATTTTGCCTAAAGAAAGACATGACTCGATCTCGACCTTCATTCGGGAATTCAACCGCCGGCTCGTCAATCCTGCTCAACTTGCGACATTGATCCGGTGCGCCAAGTGAGCACTGTGGTACCGATGGTCGTTATAACTTATGATTGGAGTACCGATGATAGGGTTGAGTGATCGTCGGCGTGAGCTCGTCTTGGTTCGTTTCAGCCGACGCAACATGAACCCACTCCGCACTCCAAATCAACGTCTCTTCCCTCCACCACACGGTAATTGATCGGCAGGAGGTGTGCAACAAAACACGAGGACAGTGATAATTTCCATTGCCTAAGCTACTGCAAGGGAGTCACTCAGTTCATCATTCTCTGGCGACATTACGAGTCCTTGTTCCCACCCGCCCACCGCCAGCCGACTCTCTGGCAGCATGATCCCATTGATGGATGAAATTATGTCAAGGGAACTGATGATCTTCAATCGGCTGTACATTCCTTAATGTCATACTGTCTTAGCGTCACCTTCGCGAAGCGATTGGACCCTCCGATGCACATTACAGGGCTTTATTTCCCTCCACTTAGAATGGTTGCTTCGAGAGGCGCCAGAGAGATGCGCTCGGATCGTATGCCATCCGCACGGCAGTACCCTGGAGCTAGCGCAACGTCTCTCCCGTGTCTTATGCTTCGGCGTCTGGATAGGCCAACAGTAAGCTGTTCCATGTCCCCTTAGTCTAGGATCTCTCGGTCTTGCCGAGTTGGTCAGGGCCTTGAAGGGTCTGCTCTCGAATCCACCGAGCCCTAATACAATATGGACCCTTCGCAGCCGTAATCCAAAACGAGAGTATGGTCCTGTTGATCAGGTCCATCCTGCTCGTAAGAGAAAAGTGGTTCTTGGCCCTTCTATAGATATATAAGCTCATAGATCGCAACTTGATGGCCGTTCCTTCTCAAACATTCTTTCTTTTCTCGACCAGTGCTGTGCACGGATTTTCCATATTGTACACTTTCATTCCATTCATTGATCCTACCAATAAATACTATACCACTCCTTTACATACTAAACTCCATACCATCATGAAGGCCTTCACTCTCTTGGGAGCTGCTGCTCTTTTCTTTTCCCCGGCTCTTGCTCAGGCAGACCTTCCCCATGTTACTATCCTTCCTTTTCCTTTGGTGAGTAGCCATACCGTCAGGTTGCGAAATTCCGGCTAAACAACCGTTCTAGCCCTCTGGTACGCCTTCCGGAACGCCTTCCAGCACTCCTTCGGTCACTCCTACTCCCTGGCCCAGCGGAGTTCCGCGTCCCACCGGCGTTCGACCTACGGGTTCGTGGCCAACTCCTTCTTCGAGCGGAGTTCCACCTCCTTCTAGCTCTCCGGTCTTTGCTTTCCAGCGCAGACACGCCCGTCAGGTCCGTCCAATCTTCGTCTAGACGGTCCCGTAAAGTTTGGATCATTCCTGGGAGAGTGAGCTTGGTTGGTCGATGGATGGATAGATTGCTGGATCAGTCATTCGTTCGGGTGTGACAGTGTCACCATGTTTGATAGCAGCTCAATGCCATATCGGCTTATCTTGGAGACAATGTTCCTCTCACTTGTGGCGCCATCTGAGTAACGTAGATCTTTATATATACTATACAAATAGTAGGATGTAATATTGGTAAAGTTCAATACGACGACAATACAGCCAA